AATATTTTCTTTAATTTTAAAAAGTAAAAAATTTTACCATTAGTTTTATATATAATTTGCAAATTGTACACTCTACCTTTAAAAAATTAAAGGAAATGTTTAAATCAACAATTGTTAAAATAAATGAATTGGATAATAAAGATGAGGAAGATGCATTTGATTATGATGAAGAACAAGCTAATCAAGGTTAAATTAAATTAAATAATCCTATTAATACTACGGGTTTATTAAATGAAGTCAAGACAAAAATATATGCAACACTTTGGCACTATTATCCTGATCCAACACCTCAAGAATTGGTATTTGCTCTATTAGATTCTCGACTTAAATCTCTAGATTTTGTCAAGATTACAAATAAATTAGCAGCTAAAGATGTTCTTAGAAATTTATACAATAATGAAAAATTATTAGAAAATGGACATGAAAGTCTAAAGTATGTATAACTTTGTAATTTTTTTTTTTTTTTTTTTAATATTGAGGTGACTACTTAGGTTCCTGGCACTTTATTAGTTCAAATAGGTGGGCTATATGTCCAAAGACTAGCTTATATATTACATCAGTATCACGAGAGTACAACTAGTCACATGTACAACTTTTGGTTGCCTATTTAAGTAGTCCACTCAAAGTGTTAGTGCTATGCTAAGGGTTCTATACTAGATATCATACCTATAGCCTAACTAAAAAGCTATCTATTTAAACTCTCTGGCTTCAACTGATATCACATGTTTTTTCCTAATATACACCTTTTAGGAACAGTAATTTACTGTGAAAGACCCTAAGACTTTAGCCAACAACAGAAAGTATTTATCCTTGTAGTAAACTCAACAGAGTGGTGCCTGTTCTACATGGCTATTCACCTGCATGTTTGGCAATTTCTTTCCAATTAGTATATATTGTCTGCCACTATTGTATTCATATCTCATGCCACCTTTTGGAGTGCTGCCGTAGCACAATCTGTATCTTAAGTACAACCTTCCTAATTAGTTGCCTATTGCATACTTCTTGCCCTTACAAGGTTCACAATAATCCCAGTTCCTATATTCCAGCTATTTCTTTACCTGGTTTCTTTATTGGTCCATCTCTAACTTCCAACTAGCAATCCGGATGGGTTGGTCTGTCTAGGCTTTAGGTGCCTGAAGGATGCTCTCCCCTTGGTTCATACTTTCAGAGCATATGACCTTTTTCTCTAGTGCGTCAACCGGTGGTTCGGTTAGTGTATCCCCTACTTAAGGACCTGTTCGCTGGGTTCTCCGATCTCAGGCCCTAGTTCAGATTCAGCCTTCTTGTGGAACTGTCAAAGATTACTGCTACTTTCAATTCAGGACTTCCCAAACGAGTTCCCTGTAGTTTTATTAATATCTGAGCTTTATGCGACCTAACTGGCTCCCAATCGGATCTTCTAGGTACAGGCATGTACTCCCTTGGACTAGTGTCTAACAGACTCCCATGTATACATTGGTACAACTCAGGTTACAGATCTTCAAATCCGATAATCACTACAAGTTACAGTAAAACAGGCCTATTTTTCAAAATTCGTTGTCCGTGGGATTCGAACTCTAGATCTGCCACCTGGTGGAGTGATGACTAGACCACTTCACTAAGCCGCTACACCCTTTATAACTTTGTAATTTAAAAATTAATTAAAATAATTACTATACCAATTTTTTTTACTAAATTCTATATAATAAAAAATGTGAAGATTTAGAAATTAAGAATGAAATGGATAATTGTATGACTAATAATGATTTATTATATATATCTTGTTTACTGAAATCATTAGAAAAAGATGATTTTTAAGTAGCCGATGAAATTAAGAAATATTTTAGAATACCAGAAATTAGTCTATGAAATGACTCTTTAATGTGGTGGGATCTATATTTGAAAAAATTTCCAATTTTATCTAAATTGGCAAGAATATACTTGGCAGTTCCGGCAACATCAACTCCTAGTGAGCATTTGTTTAGTGATGCTAGTAACTTATTGATATTAAAAAGAACTCGCATTACACCTAAACTATTTAAAAGGATGTTATTTTTAAAAAAGAATGTTGACAAATATCAAAATATTCATCCTTCTGAATAATGATATTTACAAAAGAAATATTAAATAATTATAACGACTCTGCGCTGTAATATTGTAACACTGTATATACAGTAAAATATGTTTTATTATAATTAAATGCTTTATTATAATTTGCTTTGTAATAAATATAATAAATATGTTTTATTATGAAATTGCTTTGTAATAAATACAATAACGATGAAATTATATTACATAATAAATACAATAATGATAAAATTTATATTACGAATTTATTTTGTAAAATTTATTTAAGATAGAAGATATCCGTTAATCAGATAACAGATACAGTATCCTATTTGATGTCAGATAATGGATATCTTTTCAAAAGGACAAATCCGAGTTAGATAGGATTCGAATACCATAGGTTTCCGAAAATAAGCTACCCTTTTTTGGCCAAAAAGTTACACAAAAATCCCGGGGGTAGCTTATTTTTGGGTAAAATTTTGAAAAGGTTGATTTTTATTATTTTTTTAAAATCTGAAAGTAGTTTCTATATATAAAAGTCGAAATTCTACTAAGTAAATCGATGAAAGTCACTTAATAGGGGTTGTTCAGGACGTAAAAATACACATAACCTGAAAGTTTGAAGCAAAT